TATTTGATTATTTGATTTTACTATCCTTTGGCATCAATTAAATGTATTAAATTAGCGACAAAAGCTATCACGAATTAAAATAAAAATGATCAAAGTCATAAGCCATATTCTTATAATTATTTTACATATATTAAATAACTCTTAGAGACGAAAAATGTGTGCTAATATTATTACGTGGAGAATAACGAAAAGCAATAAACTAGAGAAAATTCAATTATTCTCGACGAAAATATTGGCAATATTTTGTTAACTTATCTCAATTATTGAGTTGATGTGTAAGTTCGTGGCATGTAATTTTTCTCATTTTTTTTTTTCGATGGACTTGTTGGTGTTGTTGCATCGAAATATATCTTTTTATAGCATCATATTCCTGTTACACGTGCGCATTTTTGTCGAATTCATAAAGTTTCTGATTTTTTTTACAGATCACAAAGGATGGAGTGTCAAGTCGAGAAGAAAAAGCATTTCTGACACCTGCTTCTCTATGAGTTCCACAAAGTGCCACCTTTACTGACGCTGCCAGAAGCATTTGTGCTGTGAAGGGAAAAATGTTATTGATATAAAAAGTTTCGTTTTAGAGACGAAACTTTTTATATCAATAATAGCACCTTTTGGAGGTTACCCATACGCTGCAGATGTCGAACGATTGTTGCTTAATCGCATTCCATCTCATTGCCAAATTCTCATATTGTTTAACAGAAATTCTCGTGTAGTTGTGTGTTCAGATAATCGTCGTCAATGTTCGATAGACGACTGCTGTTTACAGTTATTGAGGTCAGAAATTCCGTTTCCGAAACGGAAAAAACCATTTCTGGGCTTTCTTATGCTATAACATTTTTCCCGTTCACAGCACAAATGTTTCTGGCAGCGTCAATAAAGGTGGCACTTCGTTGAACTCGTACAGAAGCAGGTGTCGGAACATTCCACTTTTGTGACCTGTAAAAAAATCATCATCTTAATGAATCCAATAACACGCACGTGTAACAGGAACATTACGCTATGAAATGACATAATTACTTCGACCAACAAATTTCAAACTAAGAAATACAGGGAAAAAAATTGAAATGGCACGAACTTATGCATCAAACTAACATTTTATTTCTGTTAAAACTTCACACGAGCATATAACTTCTAAATACACCAGGATTGCTAAGATGTTATTTAATATTCCATATAAAAATTTTCAAAATGTGTCATGTAAAGAATAAAAAAAATACTCCATTTAGTAATTTCCTGGAGATAAATTTAAATTTTAACCGCTATTTTTATCGATACAATTTACCCCGTAATTAGAATTTTAAATATAAAATAAGTATAACTAAAACGGAAAAAAATGCTTCAATATATGGATAATGTAAATTTTAAAATCCTAAAATATTTAAAGATTCTTCTTTGACTTAATATCTAAAATATGATTCATGTCTATGACTTATACATTAAAACTTTATACACGAGTAGAAGAATTTCTCAAGAAAAAATAATGTAATAGATAATATCAATTTAAATATAAGTAAAGAGTGGAAAAAATTGCTTTCAGTAAGTACTCGAGAGAAAATTACTTCGTATTACCATAAATACTTAAGCTTATCACGTCCCGAAGTAGTATTTATTATGTTTAGGGACGTGATACGCTTAAGTATTTATAGAAATTATAAAAGTTATTTATAAATATTTAATGTTAGATTCTTGTATAGCTAAAAATACTTTATGTGTTTTAAGTAACGAATTAAGTTATTAGGTCTCCTTTAAATTAATGTGCTTTAATGCTACTGCTATCTTGAAAGATGGAAATTAAAAATGATTATATTACTGTTATAATGGTGTAACTACGATAATATAAAAATACAAAAAGGAAAGTTTGCACAAAAAGATTTTAAACTTTGTTCCTATCTTAGTTACATCGATGAGAAATTTTTGAAAAACTTTCTATAACAATGTTCCGTCAATATTGTTCGAAAAGATTAAAAGTCTTATCTAGAAAATGAGGTTTACCGATGAATTTTCTCTGCAATATACAAGATGACAATCGATTATTACTGTGTTAATATTGCAAAGAATGCTTACTGTTCAAACGATCGACAATATGTAATTCTTGAGCAATAAATATATTAAAGATGTACATTTTTATTTATTTTCATAACATATTTACTACAGTATAATTGAATTGAAATTTTCAAATAGCAAACTTATACATTTCCGCTATCGTCCGTCCGTCTGTCTTTCGTTAATCTCGAGAACAGTGAATTAGATAGATGAAAGACGAGACCAGATATGAAACGCCTAAGGGGCCTGAGAACCTATTAAATATATATGAACTTCGAGTCTGGACCAAAGGTCACGCGATTTAAATTTGAAATTTTCTCCAAAAAAAGGGGTTAGATAGATGACCAGCACGACTCGATTATTTTCAGGAGGAACATGATGTACAGGGGCACGACACCACTAAAATCCAGATCAATTATGTGAAGTTCAGGGACCAGAAACCCCAATTAACTATATGGGAACTTCCGAGCTGGACCGGAAGTTACGTGAATTTTTTAAATTAAAAGATGATTAAAAACTGTAGTCCGGCATTGTGACGACGTCACAATAAATAATTTCTCGTTTATTCTCAATTACTTTTTTCTAGTGGACATTGAAAACAATGATTAAGACTCCGCACGAAGCGGCCGTCAATGGAATTATCAATAATTTAAGTTAAATTATTTTGGTTCGGAAGATTCAATCCGAAACAAATTATTCATGATTTTCATACGCAAAGCCACCGTTAAATTTTACATTACCTGTCTTCTATTTTATAACTCTCATTTATTAAGATTTAATATCCGAGGACAAGAGTGCAATATTGTTTTTAAAAATTCAACGAATTTATTTTACAATTTCTACAATTTATTATTTTTTATGAGAAATGAAAATTCATGTGTTACCATTCTCTTCTAAACATAAACACATAATTAATTATAATTTGATATAAAGATATAATATATCTCTGAAAAGTAGGGCAATGATAAGCAAACATTGTAGAGTTATGCTTACAAACGCAAATTTTACTTGAAATCTCAGATCGAATTTACATTTATTCTATAGAAAGTAATTATTTCGGGAAATCATTTAATTAATTCAGATTTTAACAATACAGTATAACGTTTCGTATTTGTAAATCATTTATACCGGAATTCTCTTTGTAATGATGAAGAACAAAATTTTTGTAAATTAACTTTCGTAATATATTTGCTTAACTGAGATTATATATCTTATATTAATATAATGTGCATAAAAAGCTAAATTGCCTTATAATTTAGTAAATGTATTTTTACTTTAAAAAACAGTAGATTTGTCTATACGACATTATTATTTTAATATTTAATTCCAATAGTTGTAATTTTCCTCTGAAATTTATGACTGTAAATTTCTTAAAAAGAATTTTATTGAAATTTTAATCTAAAAGTTTCTTTCTGTTATCTTTAGACTCAATTTTATAGGCAGTCGGATAGCTGAAGCGATTAAGGCGTTTTGGGGATCCGGGTTCGAATCCGGAAGTTGCTCTCCCAGGAATTTTTTTAGGGGTGGTCTGTCTTACCATCCCCATTGTGGGCTTTTTCTATGCCATCATGGGTTTGACCAAATGAAAGTGTCCACGGGGAGGAAAGACAAAAATTTTACATCGTTTTAAGGTTTGTCAAAATATTTAAATGTATATTTAAATACCTAAATGATATGTTTTAATTATGACAATCTTAAAATTGCAAGGCATTAAAACATTTCAGATATTTTTAAAAATAACATGGAACGTTATTTAAAAAGAAAAATCAATGTTTCTGCATTATTGTATATAAAATTATGCGAATATTCATTAAATTTAAAATTAGAAAACATATAAATTCCATTAAAGCGTTTAACCATCGAGATAAATAAAAATGAATTTTTCTTTATTTAGATCTGCTTAGAGCTTTTAATTCATTAAAAATCCGCTGTTTAAAATAATAAATATTTAATCATTTTAATACACAATGCTTTTATTATAGGCTAATTAATCTTTAATGCAAAAAGTTTAATTCTTATTTTTTTTTAAAGAAAATTCATAATTTATACATTGTTTACTGCCTTGAAATTTTAAATTTCGACGGCAAAAAGATTTAAACTTCACTTACGAGTTGTTTAGAACTGCATTACAATACATTTCAACGCGTTAAACATAAAACGTGTACAAGAAATAAATTGATTTTTGAGTTGACGTTCCACCTATATGAAATATTGATTGATAAAAATCTCACTACAAACTTTCTATTTTTGTTATTGCAGGTTTTATGCATTCATTTAAAAGAAACTCAAAAGGAGATTTTATCAATTATCTCTTCAAATAAATTTGAAAACATTTGTAGATAGGATGATTATATAATGAGAAGTTTCTCATGCCTACGGAAACTAAACCAAATTCTAATATAAATCGGATTTTTCGTGAGTAATTCAAACCGAAACTTTGTTCTTTCTTTTTATTCATGCTACTGTCTATTTTGTAGACTCATCTGTTATAATGCGATGTAAAAATAGTAACGGAGATAAAACTCGATAGGATTGAGAACTTGACGGATAATATCTTTCAAAAACGTTACTACAAAAATTATTTTTAGATGTTGCATATTTATCATTTTCTTTAAGTTTTCATTCTCCTTCGAAGCATTTCTCATTGGTCGTTATGATTAATAGAAATTAATAAAAAAATTTATAAAATTATAAAGTCGATAACTGATAATTAATTAATTAATTAGAAAAAAATAATGTAAAATGTTTGATATTAATTTTTGCATACCTGTAATTCTTTTTCTTTTCAAAATGCGCTATAAAATCTATTTTTAGAAAGAAACTATTTTTTGTTTTTTTTTTCTTTTTTGTGTAAAATAGTTCATAATTCTTTAGGAATTTAATTAAATTTTTGGTAACTTCGCTTTCGGATGTATAAACCTGACATTTTAATTAAAATAAAGAGAAGAATTCTTCAACAATTCTTTTATATAGGAAACTTTTTAAAGAGTACATTCGGCATAAAGTAACAAATTGATGAAAATGGACGGATTTAACAACTATTGCTCTGAATAATTACACAATTCATTTTATATACATACATTACAAGAAAAAAGCAACATAAGAGAGACTGGTGCGTCATGTAAACATTTGCTCATTGTATATAACGAATAAATATGAAATTAATCACGAGGACGGAGTTTACACATTGATTTACTTTTCACAAAATATGGACGGAGTCGATTCCGTGTTTCGCTACTTAAAAATTTCCTCTCTTCCTAATGATTAATTTCCGTATCATTTCCGCATTATAAATAATGATTTTTTGAAACGAACCACAACGGAACACTAGTCTGTTAGAACACCACAAATCGATCGGATCGATCCATTCATCAAACCGTACTGATAAAATATTGTTCTCGAATGCTACTGCCGAGGACCGCTTGCTCTTGGTGTCTTGTTAAAGTTACTTGAATTTTCTTTTTTAGTAATTCTTCTCTCAAAGACTTTACGTCTTTTTCCGCTTGGATGCGAAGCTGAAATTTCAATTAATTAGTTAAAATTTACCTGAATTGCAAATACAGATATCACTTGGCTTACTTTAATTTCTGCTGACAATTTCAATCTGGTTCCTTCCACCCTTCTTCTTAGATCCTCGATTTCTTGTAATAAACGGGCGATCATGATTTTATAACTTAACTGTAAAAAAATCAACTCAATAAATATTTATGGCATGTTTAATCTACTTTCGTAAATCGATTATTTAATTGAAAAAAAGTTCAAGCTTTCATGTATGAAAATGAAAGTGTTTTCCCAAGTTGCAACGTCTGGGTCAAGAGACATTATGAGGTGAATGACCTAATGACGTCACAACAGACTCTATGTTTATTAAGCTTTAATGAAAAAATACTTCCTGATCACATGACTGAAACTTTTCACTTATTATAATTATTAGTGTTCCGAATTATTTGTTTTCTCGTTATTTCATACATACAACATTATTTATGTATCAGTAAAGCTCTTGAAAGATTTTAATAAATTTAATTTTAATTTTCATATGGAATTTATAATTTTGTATATTTATTAAATATTTTCAATTTTTGTTATACAAGTTATGCTATATTTACTATAATAACATGAAAAGTATTGAATAATTTCCAGTAAGCGAACAGACTCATATTTCTTAATGTTTGAAGTTTGTCAAAATTGCTCATCCTGATGTAGCCCAAAGTTATCTGATGGCACAGACTTATCACATCTTGTAGGTTAAATAATGAAACGGAGTCAGAGATAAAGTTTAAAAGTATTTTCTTTATTAGTATTGGAAATGCATTTCAAACTCATAATCCCTCAGTCTGTGAAATCAGCCAAATTCGAGCTATATCAGGAAGCATTAACTTAGACAAAAAACGAGAATATTTACAGGAAAACTGCCCATTACCACTTAACACTGGCCGTGGATTCGCGCCTGACCAACAGATTAATCGCGTGGAGTTTTCCGGGCTTTCTTTACGTGTCTAGCAACTTGATAGAGCCAATTTACCATAGAAAGTTCTTCCGGAAAGCACCCCATCTTGGCAGATCGATTGTGCCTTATTCCATCAAACCAAGCCTCTTGGCAAAATTTTTGACGCTTAGCCTCAATTTTACATATTTGCATATAAATCGCTTTTTATCTGCTTTTCAATGAGGGATATAACTTAATAAATCGCAACACAATTTATTAAGTTATGTCTTCTCCAGTGAAAGTCAAATCGAGTTTAAATTTGATTGGAGTTTATTATGAAAATACACTTAAGTCTGAAACCAAATTAGATTTTTTATTCATAATTTTGAGTACGTAAACAAAACACGTTCAACATTTTGTTAGTCTCATTAACCAAACTGCATTCGTTAAGCGAAGCGGCATATCATTTGTCAAAAACATGAAAACCCACTTACTTTATTGGAAGGTTTCTCTACTCTTCCAGAAGCCACTAAAATGGCCGCCACACCCGCTTGGACTTTAGCCAGAAGTTCTCGATGCAATCGTTCTAACTCCTGTCTCATCTTGGAGCAATCTTCTTCCAATTTCGGAGTGACTTTTTTCGCATCCAAATATCTTTTTCTCCATAATTCTCGTACTGGAACGAAAATAATTTCGATATCATCACATTCTACTACCAGCAAAACTCCCATGCCGCAGGAATTGGTTCTTCTGTATGTTGCCGTCACGCAGTACATACTTTTCAAGGACAGGTTTATCGATGTCGACCTTGCCACTGTTAATACGAACAATAACTGCGCGTGTGCAATAGTTAAACCTCGCGTGATAGCATATTGGGTGGAGTTTTGAGATGTTCCGGGGATGAGATTACAGTTCCCAAATAAGGCATGAATCAATTCCGTTACGTCACACTAGAGATAAATAAATTTCCCATAACAGTTGTAAATTTACAACTTACTTATAATTTTTTTACTCCGAAGAAAACTATCGACGTTTACATGATAAATATGAGAAAAATTTCTTTCGGATAAATTCAATTTAAAACGTCAGATTCAAAAATATTTTCAATTCCCACTCTATTTTCGTCTTGAAAAAGAATTATTTTACATTAATATTTAGGCACGGTACCTATATATATATATAGGCTATGTAGAGACAATACGCTATAATCATATTCTATTCTGAATATTAGGTCCTAAGTGAATTTGATCGCAAGACGGAAATACTCTAATTTCCTGTAATTGACAGCCAATTCGAGAGATATTCAACTGCATATATTACTTAGAAGACCCATAGAAGGCAGAGGCGGCTGAGTCATCCCTGTTCATTGTTCCAAATATCAAAATTCTGTTTAATTATCTGAAAATTTTAAATGATTAACTATTAATTTTTAAATTTCGAATATTTTTGCACCGTTTTGTACGTACATTATTTAATAGTATTAGACCTATACTACAGTACTATTTAATAATAATTATTATTATTCGCTTTGAGCAGTTTTAGCAAACTTGAGACGAGGGAGCTGCCAAAACGTTTATATATAATTGGTTGTGGCGTGCGTTAATATGTATCCTAATTGTAATAGTAGGTATCAATGTGAACAGGAATGAGAGCAGAGAGAGTTACCAAACAGTAATGTTGTTTTATTTATAAAAAGTGATTGGTGAAATATGCAGTTGCTACTGGAAATTCTAGAATTGTTATTTAAATTAAGATAATTTAAATATATTGCAGTATTATTTAACATTTACAATAGGCTACAATAATGAATATTTTAAAATTAAACTACATCAAAAACAAAACCAACAACAACAGCAACAACGACACTGACTAATACTAATTGCATAAACAAATACAGAAAGTTATTACCACTAATGAGCTCATGGTTAGCTCAAGGCCGGAGAAGACGTAATTAAACATAAGTTCCATGTTTTCAAGTGGATTGGTTATAATATATGCGTATGACTTCGATATTCAAAAAACTTGTTGCATTCTATTATACTTGTTGCCTATTTTGATCTTCCCGATCAAAGGAAAACGCGTTCATATCCATTGGTTACATATTCTGGAAACCTTTAGTAGTAATAATGGCTTTCCAAATACGCAACATCTGAAATTCATTATGTTTTATGTATGTAGCAAGACAAAACAATGAAATGAAATGGGTTTGAGTCTATTATAGTAAATAACCACTGGATCCCGCTAAAAATATTATGTCAAGTCTATTGTAGAAATAATACAGTTTATCGTTATTAATAAACTTTCTCTTAGAGGTACAGTAGAACCTCGATTATCCGGATTGTTCAAAATAAACAAAAATTTTACGAATTTGCTAATTTGCACTTGGCGAATTACGATACTGTTTATGTACGTGATGGAATGCATAACTTCGTTTGTTTCAACAATGTCTCACCCGGCATAGTGGCCGTAAACTCTTAAATATATTTTGCGTCGTAATAAAAATATAACTTGACATACATATTTATAAATAATTTTATTTTCAAATTACATCATTTCTATGACCAAGGGCGGCGTAAGGAATGGGCAACGTGGGCCACCGCCTATGCCTCGCGTTTCGAAGGTTTATGCATTACTTAAAAGCCGCAAACGCGACGAAAAAATTTCACTTGTCGTAAAACGATAAATAGTTTGTCAAATTTTTATTCATAAAAATGCAGTTTCAACTGCTTTTTATTTTATAAAATCCGTCTTCTTGCGCCACCAGAGGGCCTTTTAAACAATAGATAGTCTGTTAGCGTTGGTCAGTAGTAGTGCAAATTCAATACGAACGTTTGTTTCTTGAAAATTTGATCACGATTTAAATACAGTATTTACTTTTGATATTACCGATATGTCATCGAAAAGAAAACGTGTTGTATTATCATTAAAAGACAAATTAAAGTATTTGTTTCGATTATCCGAATTTTTCCCTTATCCGGACTACCTCCATCCCCAATTAGTCCGGATAATCGAGGTTCTACTGTACTTATGTTACAGAAAATCTCGAGAAAAATAATTTATTCAGAAATATTTACGAATTCACACGGAAAAGATTAAACGTTGCCAAATGTAGTAAATGCATTCTAGTCAATGCTAACTTAATTATTTATCGCTGTTAATTATTGCTAATGCTAATGCAAATGCTAATTATTTAATTACATTATTATAGACAAAATAAGAGAAAGATGTGAAGAGATAGACGAAAGTCAACATTAGATCATCTTTTATCAAATGCAAGATCTAATTTTAATAGAGAAAAAGATTGATAACATTGTGCAGAAGACGACGTAGCAAAAATGAAATTTGTGTAAACATGATGTAAATTATCATTAAAGAAGAAATTTATGTTGTTAAATCTCTCATCGAGAGGCAGCAAAAGTCATAAAAATGCAAATGTCTTTAATGAATTACTGAATCAAAAAACTGGTTTTTAAGACAGCTATAATTTATTAGCAACACGTAGAACCTTTGGATACAGTACAGCAATTTGTGAATCGACGTTCAGTGCTTTAACAAGAATAAACTGTTCGTAAAGACAATCAATCTACTAACAGAGGACGACAAATTTTATTTTTTTTGTATTCGAAAACAATTACGCCAAAAATATAAACATCGGCATAATGTTACGATAATTTAATGATTAAAAAAGCAAGCGACTGCAATTATTTTAGCTATTTTTATCTTATTTTCTGTACTATTTTATATTTTATTTTTTAATGCTCTTTGTTTAGTTTAAAAGTTCCACTAAATTTTTTCTAGCATTTTAAGAATGATTTTCCTGTTTATATTTTAATTAATAAATATATATGTGCTTTTATAAACAAAATAAATGTTTTTTAAGCTATTTTATTACAATAACTTAAAAAATTTTATAGGCAAAGAATATTGCTGAAAGTATGCAAAAGTTCTCTATTTGCTAGGATAAAAATGCTTAAAAGCATTCAATCTCACTAAAAATTTTCAAACATTTCCCGAAGGGCCCTGTTCCTCTTTCTCTTAAAACTACTTCGTACTTCCAGACGGTAAGGACAACACATAATTCACTAGAGCTAACCTATCAATATATAATTGATTAGCTATGCCTCGAATATAGAGGTAAGATAAAAAAGAAGGCATACAAGTAATGTAAATACTGTATCATAAATGAAATAAATTAGAAGAAAAGATGAAAAAAATTGTAATGAAAATAAATATTATATCTTATTCTTTTACATAGATGAATCGAATTAATAAAAGAAGAACTGTAAGAGATAGATGATAATTCAAGTAGAAATATCAACAGCTAATTTTTCATCTAATACAGAAAAATATTTAATACTACTTTAGCAAGAAAGATATTTCTGCAATAGACCAGGGAAATTAATCTAGTGAAGGAAATAACCATTCTCGGATTTTCTTCAAAAAATATCTAATACGAACTAGAGAATACACAATATATTTTTCTTTTATATTATGCACAGTATATTATAAAATTTATTTATTGCGAAGTAAGCCACCTTTAATTAAGAATCTTACAGCATTAAAATTTATTTTTCACAATTAACATTCTATCATAAATTTCAAAGAAACTAATTACTGTACTTATGCGACTAAGGCTTTTTGTAAAATCGACGGTATTATACTCTCAAAAGATTTCAATACGTATCTTTTGCGAATTTATTTATTTATTTTGCTTTGTCTCTCTCTTCTTTTGATATTTTTTCTTCTCAACTCCACAAAAAGTATTTATTGATTAAATTGCTCTCAACAGTTTCTATTGATCGGTCGACCGGATAGTCAAAATGGTTACGGCATCAAATTCACTGTGAGCCAAAATATCCCAGAAATTTTTTCGGATGATCTGTTCGAGATCTGTTAGGCCCCATAAGTTTACCCAATTTTGGGTCTGGCGAACCCACGATGGGCTTGTAAAAAGGTTTCTTAGTATCCACAGAGCAGAAAAGTTTCAAAAACCTGTTGATTTATCTATGCTTTGAAATACATATCTTTAAGTTTTCTATATTGATATACGTGTTCTTTATTTTTCAAATAATTTTATATATATAAGCTATTTACAAATTTTCATCTGAATACAATTAGCACTTTGTTTACTATTTCATCTTATACAGCAGCAATATTATTTACGATAATAACGAGCAATTATTTATTGTAACATCGTCACAATGCCGGGCTGCAATTTTTAATCATAGTTTTAATTTTATAATTAAAAATATATGCTCTTCACCTCCAATTAGTAATGGCTTGCCCCTGTACATCATACTTTTTCTTTAATAATAAAATCGTGCCAATCATTTATTAATTGCTTTCAGGGGAAGTTTTGAATTGAAATAGCATGACGTACGATTTGCATTGGAAGTTCATATATAGTTAACCAGGGCCTCCTCCCCATAAGGTTTCCATATCTGGTCTCATATTTCATCTATCTAACTCAGTTCTCAAGATTAAGGAAAAACAGACGGGAGGACAGACGGAAGGACGACAGTGGAAATTTACGGGTCTACATTGCAGCCCGACGGTTTATTCTATTCAAAAACCATGTAATGATTACCAGAAGTGGCCTTGGAATTTGAGTGGATCTAGGCAAAATTTATTTTTGAAGCTCATTAAAACAGCGACGGAGCTAGAGGATAGATTAAT